GGACGCTCCTGTTGACAGGAGTTCTTCAAATGCGACCAAGCAGAAACCAATTCAACAATGTGTCTCTCCTCCGGCGCAGCAGCCATTCTCACCAGCTAAACGAGAGCCGAAACGGCTTCTGCATGTTTATCGCTGATCACACGGCAGGCGAAGCCAGCATCCACAACTAAATCTAACGATGTTGGCTGAAATGCCCGATGTATGACGAATACACTTTCGTTTCAGCTGTGGCTGAAATAGTTCCAGGGCGATGTGCGACCCCCCAAAAAAGCCAGCGGGTAGCAACGGGGATCCCTAAACCGTATGGGGATTAGGTTTTAGGGCTCTGAGGGTTCGGGGTTTAGGGTCGCAGAAAGGTGGGTGCTAGAAGGGTTCTAAGGATTCTATATAAGAATGCTTGTATACGGGGTCTACATGGCTTATGAGAGTTCTAAACGGGTTCTGCACTGAAGCATAAACCTTCTGAAACTTTGAAAAGCAAGCCGATGGCAGAATTTGTGGACAAGGAGCTGGCAAGGATGCACCTCTGCGGCAAGATTACCCATAGGCCCCATCGTAGTTCCTTTTTGGGATTACCTTATAGGATTCTATATATGAACCCCCAAAAGGAACTACTTTAGGGCCTATGGGTAGTGTTTGGTTCGAGGGTAGGAGCCTTCTTTTTCTGCTTTCTATTTTGATGTCGTTGAGGAGGAGGGGTGACTCGGACCGAGTACAGATGCTCGTGCATTAAGTCTCCGTGGGGACTGCTAAAAATGCTACTGTTGAGTGTGGAGGCTGGTCCTGCGCAAGTCGATCTCTGGAGTCAGCAAGGTCAGCTAGAAAGCTGCACAAGTGGAGCAGTGATTCGATCTCGATCTCTCACAGACCATGAAAGCGTAGGATTGAAAAAACAAAGCAGTCTAAGACTCAAATGGATACATGCACAAGCTTGACTGCGCCTTATGCGCACTTCGTGCACGAAACTGTTTGGGATGATCACGGAAATCTCAGCTTCCGGCTACTTCCGGCATGGCAGCTGTCGTTGCCGAAGAGTCTGCTGCAACTGCTTGTGCAGTCGCCTGCACGCGAGAGTTGCTCGTATGGGGTTTCGGGTTTCGGTTGATGGTTTAGGGAGCTTAGGGTTCAGATGCAGTGACTCGTACGTAAGGCCCTCCTTGTGCTCGGATGGGAGATATGCTCGGAATGCGGTCAGAAGGGTCTTATGTCAGCAGCCAGACATTCCGCTCCCACAGAGCATTTTTCATTTTACGTGGCGCAGCAAATGTGCCTCTGGCTGAGTGCTTAGGGCTTCGGAGATATGGCCGACCGAACATGTGAAAGGCCAGGTATTGAGCACGGAAGCTGAATACATCTCTTCAGTGCCCCCAATCCCGTCTACATTCCTGCCCTAAACCCTAAACCCTAAACCCTAAACCGATACTGCTTCGTAGTGCCGTGCCGAACTCGCGGGCCTCGAGGTAACCTAGACTTTCCCCCTTCCATCTTTTTCAACAAAACAGACCCTGAGCCCTGCACCTTAAATCCAACCTTCAACCCTACATAATTGCACAAGTAGCTATATCTCCTTTGTTGTCGGGAATAACCGCTATAATCAACAAGTTTTTTGGATCCGCAGGAAACACTCTAAAGCCTAAACCCTAAACTCCCGAACCTGCAACTCTAATGCTCTAAATCACACGCGCCCTTGCCTTGGCTCCCCTCGCAAACGCTGCTCCTGCGAGTGTCCCCGGTGGATAGGCCGGTGCCTTGCAACGTAGCAATAGGTACAATAAATGCATTCTAACTCATTGGAATCCAACTTAAATTTCAAAAGAATCCTATAACAGATATGTGGCTAGAAAGATAAAGGTTAGTCTTATCGCGCAATGAGTCAGAAGTACAGTCGAGAACTTGCTATGTAGCCATCGATCTTTCAAACGACCCTCCGACTCCAGATCTGGGTGGGAGGGTCGACATAACATGGACCCTCTGCTTCAAAACCCCGGTACCAATCCTAAATCCTAAATCTATTACAGCCCTGCATATCCTTAATGCCTCTACACCTGAAGCACTTACACCTCCAACAAAAACATAACACGGCACCAACCATCCGCACACCCACTGACCCGAAGTCCAAGCGCACGAAAGCTCATTGAAGCCTGCAAATGCTGAACCTCTGATATTCCCCAAGAGCTCTAGACTAAAAACATCCAAAATTTTGAATCCATGTAGAAACTTCTTCAACCATAACCCTTAAAACCTAAACCCCTTAAGCCCTAAACCCTAAACCCCTAAACCCTAGACCCCTAAACCCGAAGCACTGTGGACGAGACAGCTGGGCCAGGGCCGCATCAGGATATCGGCAACCAAAGCAGTGTGATAATCGGACCTCAACAAGTCTGTTTTCGAGTTTAGGGTTTTGGGTTCAAGGGTTGAGGGTTTAGGGGTTAGGGGTTTAGGGTTTGGGGGTTTCGGGTTCAGGCGTTTTCGTATTCAAGGGTTAGGGGTTTTAGGCATTTAGTTTGTGTTTGAGCGCTTCTTCTCCGACCAACAGCCGAAGATCCCATTACAGGAAGGCGAGGGTGGCACATTTGGCCACACAAAACACACTAACACCAGGCACTCAACTGTCACGATGAGGTAATTCCATGGACCCCGAAGCCCTTGCACCATAATGACGTTCTTGCCCCGCCGCATGCCCTGGACCCTGTTCCGAATCAGCCAACCTCTGACCCACGAACATCGCAACCATGTCAGCCCCAAGGAGGTCCGAAACTTCATCGTCACTCATTACCCAGGTTTAGTACGAGACACTAAATCACAAACTACTGACAAAACCAAAGAGCACGCCTTAAAGTAAAATGCTCTAAGCACTCAGCAAAGCCTTGTTCCTTGGGACCTGGGAGCCTCGAAAACAACGATAAGCCCCCTATTAAGGTTTAGAGTTTAGGGTTTAGGGTGGAGGGTTTAGGGTTTAGGGAGAGAAAAAACCTCGACCCCAAGCCAGCGGCTCGTCTTTGGCCCGGTCGTGTGGCTGCTTTGGCCACCTGCCCGGAAGTGGTACTTGCAGCGCTCATGGATTTACCTCGGGAACCTCAATCCGTTCGTTTGCCCTATGTAAACCGTTCGAAACAGAGGGTTTGGTGTTATAGCAAGAGGCCTGCAGGATTTATTGCAATCCTCGACGTTTGGTGTTGCGGAGGTGTTTCAACATTCCGCTTGTTGCTTGCACCTGATGCTGACGAAGACATTTGCTAAGTCCTGCAGCCTCTGTCTTGTAGTGATTCAGGTTTCACCCAGAACAATCCCACCTGCATGAAACCATGAAGCACTCGCAAATCCTTTCCCCAAATCCCTAAACTTTAAACCCCAATACACCGCCAAACCCGGGAAAACCCTCAAACCCAAACCCCTATCAACCCCAAACCACCAAACTAGCCTTCAACGTAAACCCTATTTTAAATCCTGAACCCTGTAGCCTTAAACCCTAAAAGCCCTAAGCCCTAAACCCTGTAACCCTAAACCCTAAACCCTAAACCCTAAAACCCTAAAGCCCTAAACCCTAAACCCTAAAGCCCAAAGCCTAAACCCTGTAACCTTCAAGCCCAGCCTTCCCAGCCGCTCTTCCAGGCGTTGCACCGCATTCCGCAGAGCCCGAAGCTCTGCCTTGAGAAGGAAAGGGGCAAAACTCTGGTCATAAAAAAAAATATATATATATATATATAGAGAGAGAGAGAGGAAAAAAAACAGCGGCCTGTAGTGCGACGCTTTCTGTATATGTATATATATATATATACATATGTATATATATATATATACACATGTATACATAGATGTTTTATGTAGCTATTTATGAGTTCATTTATCTATATATGTGTATATCTATCTATTTATTTCCTGATTGATTGTTGATCTTATTTTTGCATGCAGGTACGTACGTATGTATATGCATATGTATAAGTGCATCGATATCTCTCTCTCTCTATATATATATATATATATGCACAGTATATAGTCATTGCCCTTACATGAGCTATATTGCTCGTTTGTTTGTTCGTTTCACTCACTCGCTCGTTCGCTCGCTCCCTCACTCACTTACTCATCCAATCAATCGCCCATTCACTCCTTAGTTCATTCTTTCATTCATCCTACCATTCATTCGATTATTCACTCACAAGCTATATGTCCATCTTGCTTACTGTTAGTAGTGTCATAGGTATTGTTATTGTCGTTGTTACTGCTTCTGACATGCTTTAGGTTCATGCTTTTGAATGATATACGTTCACTCAATGTATATAACATGACACAGCTCTGCGCTAGCTTTCAGCCTTTGGTGGTTGGGGTTTCGGAATTTCGGGTTTAGGGTTTTCGTGTTTAGGATGTCGGGTTTAGGATTTGGGGTTTAGGGTCTCGGGCATTGATGCATCCACCCGCTCCGTTGTCACCACCAGGTTGTATCGAAAGCCCGGCACCGAAGCCCTGAAGCTGCGACTCTTCAGTTCAACCCCTACAATATCGGTTTAGGGTTTAGGGTTTTAGGGTTTGAGGGTTTAGGGTTTTAGGTTTTTAGGGTTTAGGGTTTAAGGTTTCGGGCATTATAATGTGCAACAACTGAATCTCAAACCCCCAACACTAAACCGAAGCTCCTGAATCCAAGCCCTATCCCGAAGACCAACCGAAACCCAAATAAAGGCCCCCGCAGAAGTAGAACGCTACATTAGTAGGATCGGTGTTATAAGAATCTATTGGCTCTACGATACCCGGACACCTGTTTTGTCCGCTGCGCATCCACTTGAGCTCAAGGCCTGCAGGCGTGAGAGTGAAGCTACGCAGACGCAGTTCGGACTGCACATGACTGCATCAGCTCCCCCAAATTAAAATTCGCGATCACGTCAGGCCTTGATTTTCTGACGATTCTCGCTTTGCTTGCCTCTTGACAGAATGTCTTCTTCTTGCTCGATCCGTAGGGTGTTCTTTCTAAGAAGATGCATCATGGGTTCCTCATGCGCATTACCGACCTTGGTGAGAGCGTCAGCCGGATTAAAGTTAGTTATGGGGTACCCACCGGATTCGACCTCGAAGTTTGGCAAGCGATTCTTGAATTATCGCTACTTCTAGTGCCGAGCGATCATATTCACCTTGTGCTTGCTCATTCTTGACCGTGTCGAACAGACTCTTTGCGTCCGCAATGGCGATGACTTCGGGATCCTTGTACTCGTTGCTTTCCTCGGCCACTACTGTTGCCGATCCTCGCAGTCCGAGCTCTACCTCAATGTCCACTGCCATGTCGCGTGGATTGAAGTGGCTGTTGCAAATGCTTTTCCAGAAAGCCACTTGTTTCTCCATGGCCCACAACGCCGTAGAGAGTGATATGCTTTCACAGAGTAGCGTATTTCCAGCCTTCCGACGTAATCTCCGCGACTTCCAGGCAATGAGGGAGACAGGAGCTTCGTGTCCTTGATTCAGCTGCGGAGTAGTCATGCCTTGAAGCCAACCATGCTGAGACTTCTCCTTTCCGGACTTGTCGAAGGCGGAGTCGGAGATGAGCACATGTCTCACTTCTTCTTCAACTATTGGGTGCACTCTCAGCGTGATGGCGTGCTTCTTGAGGTGTCCGATCACATCGTTGATGGCCCATGCTTGAGCAACTGTGGGAGATGCTACACAACCGGCATAGATAGAGGCCGCTGCCGATACGTCGGGCCTCCCCTCGCGAGCTACCCAATTGATCGAGGCGATAGCGCCCCGAAGTTGAGATATCTCTTCTGGGGTGCACGGAGTTTTGTCTGCAGCTTTCTGCGTCACCTTCCGGTTGATCGTCACGAACTTGAGCCTGTGCTTGATGTAGTCGTGCATCGAGTAGCGGTACCCGTAGTCGCTGTCCTGGATTATTCTCCGGCCGGCATATGACGTGCCTTCTGGATGGTCTTGCAATCGGACGATTTTGCCAAACTTGAACCGCTCTTCGAGCTGCCGCATCAAGGTCTGGTGTCTTTTGCCACCGGCCTCCAGCAAGTCGTCGACCTCGATGACTATGATCCCTTGCGTCTGCTTGGGATGCTCGTCGCCTTCCTTGCTGTCCAGCGTAAGAACACACCTGTCGTAGGCATTGATGCGGTATCCAAGTTGCTTGACCAACACTTCTAGCAGCGATCGTCTCCACCAGGCCGGGCCACTCACCAGGCCACCAGGCCGTACACTTCGCCGTTCAACAGGATAAGCTGCTCGGGGTGGCACCCTTCGAAGATGCCATCCGATGGCATCGTGCACGCTAGCTTCTGAGCCCTTGTGGTGGGACGGCCTTGTAGAAACGCTGTACGAGCATCTTTGACTGTTCCCGGCCACCTCCTCGTCGCCGACAGCTGTAGGAACTGATACATTGACTGAGTCAACGGTGTCGGAGCTGACCGCTCGATGTCGTTGATGAGAGGGTCGCGCCAGCCTATGACGCACCACCTTGATTTTGGTGCTACCTTCTCCGCCTCCTTGGCGGATAACTTGTGTCCATCGAAGTTGTCGGGCAGCACAGAGAACTCCTCCGTGGGCTTGTACCGATCTACATATCGGCTAGGAATCACATGATCGGGATTCTGAGCTCTGAACTTTCGGCTTTCCTCGAGAGACAGGATGGTGATAGCCCCACTCTCAACCAACGAGGCCACTTCTTTGTTTCTCGATTTCTGAAACTTGCCTTGTTCATCTTTGCTCAGCCTGTTGAACTGCACCTGTCCAGGCGATTCCTTCTTCTTCGCCAGGTAGAAGCGCTTGTCGTGGTAGCTGTACGTCACTACACCTTGCTCGCCGACAAAGGTTTCTTGAGAAGCTGCGACCGGTTCCCACCGGTCTCGTACTTTGTTCCGCCAGTACTTGCGACCATCCGTGTTGTCCGGGGAGTCTTCTGCCATTTCCAGGAACGTAGTCCTTGTCTCCGGCGCCGGCCATGGTCGTGGCGTCGCCGAAAACGGGTAAGGCATTGGTCGATGTTCTTGGCTCTCGTTCCTGCGAACTGGGTTGAATGGCATCGTGCCACCCGAGGCCTCGTCGACTTGTATGCTCGCCCGTCGAGACGGAGCTGGTGTGCTCACTGCTGGTGTTCCCTCTCCCGATGCCCTGGATGGTGCACGAGTGCTCGCGTCCGCAACTAGATCGAGGTTCTCCGTCGCGGGCTCGGCGATGTTCATTTCGTGCTCCGGCATCGGCTCGTCGAGCTCCTCGGGGATAGGCTCCAGGATGTTCTCGGCGAGCTGGCTTTCTCGGCTGTTGTCTGTTGTCTCGGTGTTTCCGGGCGCTCCTTCGTTCTCAATGTCGGTGTAGTTCTTGAGCTTTCCCGACTCCATCTTGTCCAGCATCTCGGGAGAAATGAGCTGGGATATCTCGGCGCCTTGTCGCTCCTCTCGCGTGGCTCCACGAACTTGTTCACGAGAGGCCTTGACGAGGTATCCTCGTAGACTGTCCTGGTGTTGGCTTTCGCCGCTCGGTTCACGGCTTCGCGGTCCTGAGTTTTCACCCACTCCTTTGCCGCAATCTCCCGGATTTGTAGTGTGCGTTGCGTGACGTCCGTCTGGGGGTTCTGCAGCAGCTCCTTGGCAATGGCATCGTCGGACAATAGGTGCATGGGAGGCCTCAAGCTGGATCCAAACACTCGTTGGTGAGGACTGAACCCGGACCGATCAAGGTATTGATTCCGAGTCCATAGGGTCTCGTTGACACTGTACTCCATGTCGAGGGAAAACACTTCTGGTTGTTGTTGCAGCATGCGTAGGGCATCTGGTGTTCTCCGTTCGTTGGACGAAGTAGGTGGCTCCAAGATAAAGCCGCGTCCAGCATCCATTTGGAGTTTGGCGAGCTGCACCATGAACGCCATATGCCGCTTCGAACTCTCCTCTCGCGTCCCTTCCCCGTCGGAGCCTAGCATCACCAACGCGGGACGGGATGTGCTGATGATGCGTAGCGCTTCTCGACGATGAGTAGCCACACAGAAGTCCCAGGCGCTCGTCATGTCCACGGCACTGCTGATTAGCCCTCCTTGACCTCTGGAATGTTGCTTGAGATCCGAAATCCTGGACATAGATGCCTCGGTGGCTTGCTGTGGGACGCCTTGAATCAATCGCTTGACCTGCTGTCGATCCGGGACTGACTGTCGTCCATCTAGATCCCCCAGCCAGTCACGCTGCATCTGTCCTATGGGAAAAATATAACACCACGTGGATCCCGTAGATGAAGTTTCTCGGTTTTTCTGCATCTCATTATTGACATGGTCTAACCTGTCTGCTCGTCTGAATCCCGTAGATGAAGTCTCTTGGTTTTTCTGAATCTCGTGCTCCCACATCCATTGTTGTGTTTCTTCGCTCCAGCGCCCCGAGTCTCGAGGCATTCCCAAGACTTGTAGCTCAGCACCACCTTGCCATTGAGCCATCGACACCATAATCAGGAGTGTCTTCAGCATCCATCCCCGTTCGTCTAAGGACTTGACCAACTTCTTGGCCTTTGGCTGCTCACACCGCTGAAGGGCCTCGCCAGTGACCATCACGTGTTGGGGTCCTCGAAGTCGTTGGGGTTGGGCATGTCCACGTCCTCCCAGTTGTCCTCGGAGTTGAGCTCGAACCTCTCGGGTAGGTTTTGTGCTCCGGTGGGCGTCTTGGCTCGTTGAACTGGTCGTAGTCCCTCCGAGGTCATTCGAGTCCTGCCTCGGGGAGGTGCCGTAGTTGTCTTCGGAGCTGCCGAAGAAGATTTGGGACCAATGCACTGTTCGATCTCGGGTTGATGCCGCGCTGTCACCATACGGCCCTGGTCCATCCGCACTTCCCGAGGGCCCTGCTCCGGCTTTCCCTTTGGAGGAGGGAGATAGCTCGGATATCCCTGCCGGTTCGTTGGGATTTTCGGTGCTTCGTCTCTCACCACCGCCGGGTCTCTCGTGATGGCCGATGACGCTGGAACTTCCTCGGGTCGCGACCACCGTGCTCCGCAATGTGTGCATGTCCACCACTTCGCCCGCTGGTTTCCACGGCACCGAAGAGCATCGCTGGGATGTTGGCATTGGCCCACCTGCACCAGGAACTTTCGATGTGCAGTGGACTTGTTCAGCTGCTTGCCGATCCCTTGTGCCATCGAACCCGACTTCTTGTTGTGCCTGCTCCTCGTGGGTGGCTGCTGGTGGTCCTCCGGGTCCTCGTCGATCGCTTGGTTGCCCTTCGTCACGATGTAGTCCACCACCATCTGCGATCTTGCCGTCATCAAGATTTGTATCACAGCTAGGGTGATTCGCTTCCACGCTGCCAAGCGCTTTGTCGTGCTCAGCCTCGAGTCCAGCGGGATGTCCGCTGCTTCCGCCGCCGCCATCTGCCCAGCGCGAGCTGCTAGGCTGGTCATGATCACGGGTGCGAGGCGACTGGCGGGCCGAATTTGCAATCCAAACTGCCGCTCTAGCGATTATTCGCTTGAACATCTCATTCGCGGATGGGACGATGGACTTTCGATTCACTCGCTCGAACACATCATCAAAGTCATGACGGCAACCGTCCTGCCCTTCTTCATGACTCTCTCCTAAGTCTCCCATCCAGAAATGGTTGGTTTGAGGAGCACCACATCGGAACCCAAGCTGCACAAGCCACTCCCGCTCACTGTCACTGACGAACCTAATCGAACGTGCAGTAAAGGCCACAATGGATAGTCTAGACCCAGTCCAAGGCATCGTGGCATGGTAGGTTTTGGGGTTGAACTTGTACATTCTGTGGAACGTGTTAACTAATCTTCCCGGAGTGCGGACACCGCGCTTGAGTCTCCAGGCGACCTTTTGGCAGCTGGCAACCTGTTTCGGCTCGATCTCCAACCACAACTCTCCTTGGGAAAACTTGCCGAAAGAGCATGTGACGTTTTCCGAAGAGCCGTCATTGTGTGCATCCATGTGCACCTCAGAGCCCGTCTGCATGTTGATGCTCACAGATGTTCATGTAAATGACGCATCGGCTTTGGACTTGATCCAGCTATTCACATACTTGCAAAGCTCCGTGTACTCCTTCGTGTCGTTGGAGATGCCCTTGAACTTTCCATGAGCATAGAGTCCTAACAGCATGCGGCCCGGTTTGGGCCCAGTCGGCTGCATCACCGCTCTGGCCTTGGGGCGCCGGTACTCCGGAATCTTGGCCAACACCTGCTCCATGTCCGTGTAGCTGAACTGCTCCCGGGCAGCCTTATCCCGAGCCATGTCGTTGACTGCCTTGCGGAGGTGATTGCGCTGATCCACACACTGAGCTGCATCGCCACTCTTAGCATCAGCAGCCTCGCGGTCACCGCCTCCCGAAATAGTTGTGGCGATGACGGGCACGCGAAAGGGATCGCGACCCTCCGAGTCACACAGCTCAGCCGGGAGTTCGCACGGGGTGTGGCCGAAGTTCATGATGTTGACCGAACGATGACCCGATGGGAGGCGGGTCATGGGTGTCGCTTGTCCATTGGGAAGACGAACTTCGCCCTTGTCGAGATCTATGATCGCTTTGATGGCTTCCAAATAGGATATGGGTAGCAGAGGCGGCGTCTCGAAATCCTTGGAGTCCTCCAAGATGGTGAATCGCACCAAGCCAAGGACGCCGGCGACGGACGTGGGGATGTCTATGATGCCGACGGATTTCGCCGCTCCGCCGATGCCAGCGCAAGGAGTGCACCGCTCCTCGATCATCTTAGGTTGCAGGCCGTGACGAAGAAGCTCCCGTCGCATTGCCTCCAGGGCGTTGGTGCCAACCACGGCGTCCTCGGCCGCGGTGTCCACCAGAGCACATCCGCTGTGTACCGAAACTCCTGCAAACACTTGCAAAGAAGCCCTTGATGTGACGAACGTGGAGGTAGCCGTGGTCGCCCCAACGCCACGACACACGATGAAGCTGCCGGTTGCTTTTCCGGTTTTCTGGGATGCCGAGGAGGAAGCCCCTTTGCCCTTGCCGTTGTTCTGCACCAGGGGACAATCTCGAGCAAAGTGACCGAGCTCTTGGCAATTGAAACAACGAGTTCTAGCTCGAAGATCCTCCATTCCCCCTCGTACCATGCGGGATTCGCCTTTTCGCGAAGCGAACGCTCCGCGTCCTGCACTGGAGCGCCCACGGCCTTGCGACTTGTGCGAGCCGCGCTGACCTTGTCCTCGAGGATCTTTCCGTCTTTGAATGAAACCTCGTTCCTTGCGGCGTGCTTGTAAGTCCTTGCGCACGTCTTGGTATGCCGAGTGGTACGCCTGGATGTAGCATGCCTCCTCTTCGTCATACTCCTTATCCTCGAACCAAAGCGATTCCTCATCTTGTGCTTCATGAAATTCGTCATCGAACTCCTCGTCTTCCTCCCCGTAGTCACCGTTCTCCCCGTCGTAGTCCTCGCCGTCCTCCTCGCCTCCTTCTTCTTCTTCTCGGATGACAGGATAATGTTTGGCGGCCTGGCTTCCAAGAGCTGCATTTGCCGCCTGAGCTATCATGTCCGGCCGGTCGAGAGGACGAAGTAAGCTTGCAACTTGTTGAAATGTGAGAAGGGGGCTCAGATCCTTCAGGGCCAGAAGTTCCCGTTGAAATTCAGTAAGCCCTGCCTGTCTGAGCAAGACCCGTCCGGCCACCTGATCATTCAACTTCTCTTGCAAGTACTGCTCCATTTCTTGGCGAGCCACTTCCTTCTGCGCAATGAAAGTTGCAAACGCCTGGCCGCGCTGCCGTTCTCCTGCGAACAGAAAGTGATCTATGGCAGCAGGAGCCGCAACATCAAGGAAGGGTTTGTATTTCTGAACAATAGCCGTGAGAATCATACTGTACCCCTTTTCGCTGAGGACGTTGGCCAGGTCCACTTGGTCGGCTATTTTGTGGGGTTCCGATGACTCAGCAAAGGATTGGTAGAGACGAATCCCCCACTTGTGTTTGGGAGTTGTTGTTTCGCTCTCCCAGTGCGCCAAAAGCTTCAGCCATGTGCGTAGACTTCCCGGTTGTCCAGACCACGTCGGGATGCTTCTCTTCTCGCCTGACAAAGCCGCAATGAATCTCTCGGCCTGGTCGGGATTGTTTCGCATCTCCTCCGGCTTCTTCAGGCCCAAAACCTCGAAAGCACTTTGAACCTGAGGAGGGGTCGTCTGGTTGTTGCCACTGCACGGATCCAGTGACATCGCCGCTCCGGTGGCGTCCTGGAAGACTGTGGTTGCTCTCCCGAGTCCGTTGTCCCCATTGGATATTCCCGTCGCAGTAGCAGGGAGGCCTGATCCTTTTCCGGAGTTCGCAGTTGGGTACCCATTGGAAGAGGTAGCCGACGCGAAAGGCATTGAAGTCGTCGGCGCGAAGCTTAATGGTGTATCCGTCGCGAAACTCGGAGACATATTCGGCACGAAGCTTGTAGGCATACCTGTCGCGAAGCTTGTGGGCATAGCTGTCGCGAAGCTTGTAGGGACCGACAATGGAGGTGTTGACGCGAAGCTTGATGACATAGTAGCCGCCGCTCCTGGGCCATTCATTGAGCCTCGGTCTGGGCCCCATTGTCGAGCTGTCGTCTCTGAAGTGGGCGGTCCTGCGGGACCGAAAGTGGCAAAGCTCCACGGAGTTTGCGATCCGAAGTTCGGCATTTGCGCTGTCGGTTGCCAAAAGCCGTTGGTGACCGGTGTCCTCACATTCCCTTGAGGAATGTTTCTGTCGGCACCAGCCAACAGTGAGGTTCTCGAAGCATCTCTTGAAGATCTCCTTGGAAAACTAGGTGAGCTCGCCCCAGGCGGCGCAGTGGTTTCCGATTCAGCATTGGGTTGTACATTCCGCCTAAGCAGATACTCAGCCCAAGGGTCGTCCCGTGTCTCCATGTGATGTCTTGCTGGACCGAACCAGCTCCGCGCTACCAACTATTGGCTCTACGATACCCGGACACCTGTTTTGTCCGCTGCGCATCCACTTGAGCTCAAGGCCTGCAGACGTGAGAGTGAAGCTACGCAGACGCAGTTCGGACTGCACATGACTGCATCAAATCCTCAACAGTAGCATCCTCGTTATTGTAGCAAGAAGCCAAAGATATTTCAAGGATAGAAGACATGCAGAGTTGAACCCTAAACCCCTAGCCCTAGGCCTTAACCCCAAACCCGAAACAAACCCTGCACCCTAAACCCTAAACCCAAATAACCTACCTGTCTAAGGACATCATATATAGAAGACATCATAAGGAACCCTAAAAGGCAGGTTCTTTAGGGTCCAGGTACAGCCTAACCCCCCCCCAAAAAAAAGACATGAGCTCTTCGGGCCTCGGTGCCCTCCATTTCGGATCCGATGGGCTTGTGCTCAGATTTGTCGATGGCTTTAGCCTAAACCCTAAACCCTAAACCTTAAACCTTAAACCCTAAACCCTAAACCCTAAACCCTAAACCTTAAACCCTAAACCCTAAACCTGAGGGCGCCTACGGGGTTATAGGGGTCTAGTGCTTTGAAGGGCTTCGGTCTTGAAGGGTTATAGGGCTAAGGGTTGAAAGGCTCTGGTTGTCGTTCAAGTTCTTCAGGGCTTTAGAGCTTACAGTTTTGGGGTTTTAGGGCTTATGTGTTACCAGTGCTCTTGGTTCTATGGCTTACGAGCTTATGAACTTTGGAGCCACTGTCATTGCCAAAAGCCCTTCTCAGAGTTGGGGGGAAGGGTTGTGTTTAAGGTTTTGGCTCTTGGCTCGGGGATTCAGAAACTTCGGGTCAGAGGAGCTGCGGATATGTCGAGATCCGTCTGTGACGTCTCCGACGGGCTTAGGGTTTCCCTAAACCCTAAACCCTAGACCCTTAAGCCCTGAACTTTTAGGGTTTAGGGTTGAGGGCATGTTTGCCTGCCGCTCTTGCACTGTTCGGCCTCGGATCGTGCTTGCAGGTCCTCTGAGCCAACAGCACATGAGAAGCCTTGAACCCTAAACCCCTCGTACTTTGAAACACTTACGCGTAAACCCTCCAACCCCTAAGACCCTGAAACCGCGGTATAAGCCTTACCTGTAGTATAAAACTAGGCACCCCAGAGAGAAAGGGGGGGGGGGGGGCAGGGTATGACCCTCTAGGTATGACATGCATGCCAATGCATGCTCACTCGAATTTTCGCATTTCGGGCGGGAGAGCTTCTGGCTCAAAAGGATCATAGATTGGAGGGCTCAGGGTGTAGCGTTTGGGGTGTCGGGTTTAGGGGTCAGGGCTTTGGTTTACGGCCCGCCTAAACCCTCAACCCTACAAGTTCAGGCTTCAGAGGATGATGCCTTGCAGTGTCTTCTTGAGGGGAGCCTTTTCGGTGACTAGGGTTAGGGAGAAGGGCCGAGTCTGGGGCTAGAAATTGCGGTGTGCGCCGAGCGTCTTGCTGGAACGCGAATTAGAGTTTAGGGCTCGTGCGGTTTAGGGAAGACGTCGAGGTAGGTTTTTGAGTAGAGGAGGTTGTATGTTCATGAGCTTGTGGACAACAGTGCAGACTTTTGATGTGAGGTCTGTACCTACTTCGCCCAAGGGACTCGGCAAAACTGATGTCCTAGACCTGAACCCTGCACATCGAGCCCGAAACGCTCAACCAAGCAATATATATATATATATATGTATATATATGTATACACACACACAATGCTTCAATAATCCATATAGACATATTCTTATTTTGCATATGTATACACTTATACACACTATACAGGCACAGGAATGGCTAAGGTTGGATATGCGCAAGCCGGATGTACTTTCCAAGGAATATGAACCCTCTGGCATAGGGTTGAAAAGGGTGCAAGGCAGTCATAGGGTCTAAGTCTAGTGTTTCGAAGGGTTTCGTTTTTTAGCGGTTAAAGGTTTAGGGTTTATATGGGTTTAAGGCTAAGGGATGGCTTGAGATCTTACAGCTTTGTTTTTTAAGGGTTTTGGGCTTAGGGCTTGGGGCTCAGGGTTTAGGGTCACTTATGCGTCGACGGTGCTGTTGGCCTTTTGACTTATGAACTTTGGAGTGATTGTCCTTGCCAAAAGCCTTGTCGGAGGCGAGGGTAAGGCTTGTTTCATGGTCAGAGGAGGTGCGGATATGTCGAGATCCGTCTGTGACGTGGCCAACGGGCTCAGGGTTTAGGGTTGAAGGTGCTTTTGCTTCCCGATCTTACACTGTTCGGCCTCGGATTTGGTTTGAAGGTCCTCTGAACCACCAGCACATGAGTACCCTTGAACGCTAAACCCCCGTCCCTTGAAGCACTTACGCGCAAACCCTCCGCAAAAGCCCCTAAACCCCGGTACAAGCCCGATACATATAGGGTCACTATATAAAACTATATATATATATATATATATATATATATATATAGGTACCCCAAACCAGGGCGTAGGGTATGACGCTCTAAGTAGCTCTAGGTATGACATGCATGCTCACTCGACGTTTCGCGTTTCGGGTGGTGGAGACTCAAAAGGATCATACCTTGGAGGGCTCAGAGTGTAGGGTTCGGGCTTTCGGGTTTCGGGGTGAGGTCCCTTTGGTCTACAGGGTCTTTGGGTTTAGGGTTGAAGAGTTTCTTTTTGACGCCGAACGACGCCGATGCAGCCGCCGGACATGGCAAGAGGAGCGTTTCTTAAATATCCTTCTTTCGACCTTGCCGATTTGCGTTCCGAGCTCCTTGACTTTGGCTGCGAGGTTCAGATCGCCGGGCGCTTCCCGCATCCGCAACAGAAAGCTCGGGACAGCAGTTCCAAGAAAGAGGTTCAGTGCCTCGCGTTCGCCGTGGAAATGGACTCGTCCTGCTTCGCCTGGCTCAACAAGTTCTTGATGTCCGGCAGCTGCTTCATCTTCTACACGGCTCCTCGGCTTGCCCGTTCCTTGTCTTCGGGCGTCCATACGAACTGGGGCATCTCCAGCACGCCACCGGAGCCTTGGCTAGCGCCACCAGAGGCAGGTCGGCGGCGATGCAGCTGACCGGCGATAGCTTTCATCAAATGTTTTCTTATCTCCGTGGGATTTTGCCGGAAAGTCGCCAGGAGTTGCTTTATCTCCTGGTTGCTGCACTTCTGCTCCCATTCGCGCAACTGTGCAACCCAATGGCCCGCGTCGTAGAGCAGCACGGTTAAATCCAGCAGCCAGGCGAGGCCAAGGAACAGGCTTTGCACGCAGAGAAACGGCTCCATGAGCAGCTTCTCCCACTGAGCGCCCACTTCGAGGGCGAACTTGGACACTGTGATCAAGCTCGCCGGGATTTCCTCGCTGGACCGGATCTCGGACTTGAACATGGTGTTCAGAACACGGGGGCGCAAGCCCAGCTGGTACGTCTGAGCCTTCTGTGCAACCTGTTTGAAATCCAGACCACCGCCCAATTCCTCCACGTTCGCGAAAAAGTTGTCCAGAGTGCCCGTGAGCTCCGAGAAGCCAAGCTCGGGTCGAGCACACAACTCCGTCTTGTCCGCCGCAAGGTCCTGGACGAAACTGCACAAGCAGTCAACCTTGCCGACAGCAACTCGGTTCAAGCCTCCTTTCTTCGCATCTGTCGTGCCATCCGGTAGGCGAGTAGGTGCATCTGGTTAAGCGGACTTGCGTCCGGCACCACGCGGATATACCAGCAGAAGACGTCTTTGGTTTCTCGCCAGCGAACATGGCCCGGAGGGGATGCCTGGAAAAGGAACTACTTCTATCTTTGGGACTCCACGGGCTTGCTTTCGAGCCGTAAAGAAAATTCTGAACCTGTCGGGCGGTTTCAAGAAAAACGCTGTCTATAATAGTCCTTCATCTCCACAGTCTCCACAGCAGTAGTGCGGACGCTGAGCTCCGCACGTTGCAGCTCTCCACCCGGCAGGTTGTCCAAGAACTCGTCAGCGACCTTATACCGCATCTCCGTAACCAGCTAGCCGGTCACAGAGTTAGCCCTCGCACCTCCACCCGAGGTTTCCAGGAAACGCCCGCAGGGAGGACACACGGTAAGGATTTTTGCCTCCCGTCCACAGCAATGTTGAAGACGACATAGACCTAGATTCCGGAAAGGGGGTGAAGGGTTGGCTGAGGTAGCCACGCGCCGGGAGACAGAACTCTGCCAGACCATCCCGAGCTCACAAACTAAAGTTCTTGAAGGGTGACATTATGCATTTTAGGGGTGAGGAGGGGTGCTTAAGTCGCTTATATGAACCTTCATGGTAGCAAAAACCTCAGGGCTTTGGAAACAGGGCTGAGGATTCAGAGCTCCCGGCTGCGCATTTTAGATCATCCTGTCAGCACTGCATGCCGAGTGACCTTTGAACGCGATGAAGGAGTAACGAAAGTCTTAAAGGGGAAACTGCGAATAGATAGCGGCTCAGCATTGGAACTTGTCTGTGCGTTCCCTCGGGTAAGAATGGTTTCCTGCTATTAGAGGACTTAAAGACAAAATTACAATGATAAATGCCACCAACCTCCAAGTAGGCCGGAAACCCAGTACCGCTGGCTATATGTGAACATTGAAGACGTGACTTAGGGGTTCAAAGGTGTAGTGGTTCCGAAGTCTTAGAGTTTAAGGGGGTTGTGCAAGA